CAAACTCCTTCAGGTTGCAAACAAATTTTTTACGGATTAAAGAGAATTGCTTTTACTTTTATAAACTACCCTTAATTCCTGAACGCAGAGAAATAGGTATTGCTGCGGGAATAAAAATTGTATCGTACTCAGTTCTGACTACTCCTGTCCCGGGTACCGATATGTCAAGGAAGTTTTCTACCACTGATTGGGAGTTATCGACACTTTGGGTGTGAAAGTATCTTAAAATTCACTCCAACTATAGGAACTTAAATGGGTTAAATACAGAAAAAATCAAACAAAAATTCATTTTTATACTACAATTAGATAAATTGTCCTAACATATGATCGACCATTATTTATTTAAATCAGAACGTTGGTGATATACCTACATAAAAACTAAATTAAAAATTGAAAACTGATTCTCTATCGGCTTATGATATTAAAAATGAAAACAGATGATAGTAATGGTGGTGACAAGGTTGAAGCAAAACATCTATATGCGATTAAATATTGTTCCTTCTTTTTCTTTGTCTAGCACACGATAGTTATGCAAATATCTTTATTTTGTGAGATAATAAGAACTTGGCCATAAATAGATATCAACCAAAAATCTATGTATAATAAAACTATTAACCTACATCTACTTTAAATCTTGGGCAATATTTCAGAAACGACTTAAGGCGGGCTACGTCTTGAGAGTCTTACAACATCATTTTTAGTACATTATTTTAACAACAAGTTATTTATTTTCTTCTAAAACGACCTTGTTAAAATATATAAACAATTGATTTTATTTTAAGATACAATCCAGGGCCACAAAAAACTGACCTAATCTAATTCAATAAATCGAAGTGACGCAAAGAAAACGTGATTTATAAAAAAACTGTTAGTTGAAAGCTGTAATTAATTTCGAAACAGATAAATGATGATGAATCAATAATTGTCTTGCAAATGTATTAGATACAATAGTTGAAGTAATACTATAAGAACATTAGTTTAAACAATAAGATAATGTAAAGTGTAATAAAGGGCTGTATGTAATGTTATTTTTGTCAAGTCCTTACTGATTCTACTGTAGGATTAATTTATTCATTTTGAAATATCAATAACCTATTACAGAGATTTATTTTCGATATCTTTGAAATATATTTTGTTATTAGTCAAGCTGATAGATGAACTTCAGTATGCAAGATATGAATGACAACTTATTGTCCACAAATTTGTTTAGGAACATATTAGGATAAACAATGCGAATGTTACTAGAATCATCCTTTTTGTTCTTTAATTTTTCTTACCAATTGACTAATTAAGAAAATATAATAATATGTGCTATAGTATAAACTA